TTATCGGGGGTCACGTGGTCTCGAGATCAGGTGATCCGGGTACGCCCGCATCAGCAGAGAAGGAGAGATTCACCTGCAAATCATTTACCCTATGTATCTAATCGTAAGTAGTTATATATTCTTTCATGTTGAGTCTTGATTGAACAATTCAAGAATACAATAGAGAATAGAAAAGTCCTGCCTCTCATAAAAACAATACAAAAGCGAACACATTATATACAGTCGAACAAAAGTAACTCCGGTTCCGTCCGACTCGTCACTCCGACCAATCAGAAGCCGAGTAATCAACAGAGCCCGGGATCTTGAAGCTTTTCGTGACCTCCCAAACTGGCTCTTCTCTGCTCTCTCCGCATCCCCCCTCCCCCCACCTCAATTGTTCTCTTTTACAAACCCAATTTGGGTTGTTATTTCTTATTCTCCCCTTTGCATAACTTCGGCACAGGCGACGATGCTGTCGCGGTCTTCTCTCAGCCGAAATGCGCCGCGTGCGTTCTCCGCCGGCCGTCGGTCCATGGCCTCCGCGGTCAACCCGGCTTTCCAGTACGATGTCTCTGAGGCTTCCGGTGTGAAGGTCGCCAACCGTGAGGTTGAGGGTCCTACCGGTACCCTGGCCCTGGTTGCGAAGGCTGGTTCCCGTTACCAGCCCTTCCCTGGTTTCGCCGATGCCCTCGACCGTTTCGCTTTCAAGGTCAGTCCTCGTCATCAATTGGGTCATCTCCATTAGATTTCGGTATACTGATGATTCGTCTTTTGAACAGACTACCCTTAAGCGCTCTGCTCTGCGTATCACCCGTGAGACTGAGCTGCTCGGTGGTCAAATCTCGTCGACACACTCCCGCGAAAACGTCGTCCTCCGCACCAAGTTCCTGTCCAAGGATCTCCCCTACTTCACAGAGCTTCTTGCTGAGGTTGCCAGCCAGACCAAGTTCGCTGGTGAGTCAATTCCCGTCGGAGAAAGGATAAACAATTTGGTCTAGAATGCAGTTTTTTTTTTTTTTTCTAACAATCGCTTGGCGACGACAGACCACGAATTGAACGAGGTTGTCAGCAAGCTCCTCAAGTACAAGCAGCAGATTGTCCACTCCAACCCGGAGACCGTCGCTGTTGATGCCGCTCACGGTGTCGCCTTCCACCGCGGCCTGGGTGCCTCCATCACCCCCTCCCAGAGCTCTCCCTTCGAGAAGTACATCTCCGGCGATGCCCTGGCCCAGTACGCCCAGAACGCCTACGCCAAGTCCAACATTGCTCTTGTCGCCAGCGGTCCCAACTCTTCCGAGCTCAACAAGTGGGTTGGCCAATTCTTCAAGGGTGCCTCCACCGGCAACGCCTCCAGCCAATACAACGTCCTGCCCAGCCAGGCCTCCAAGTACTACGGTGGTGAGCAGCGCATTGCCTCCAAGATCGGCAACTCCGTTGTCATCGCCTTCCCCGGTTCCAGCGCCTTCGGCACCGCCGGCTACAAGGCCGAGGCTTCCGTTCTCGCTGCTCTCCTCGGCGGTGAGTCCACCATCAAGTGGACCCCTGGTTTCTCCCTCCTGTCCCAGGCCACCAAGGGCTTCAACAACCTCCGCGTGAACACCCAGAACAACGCCTACTCCGATGCCGGTCTCTTCACCGTCACTCTGACCGGTGCTGCCGACCAGATCAGCGCTGCCAGCCAGAACGTCGTCGACGCCCTCAAGAAGGCCGCCGCCGGTGAGGTCGCCAGCGAGGAGATCAAGAAGGCCGTTGCCCTCGCCAAGTTCCGTGCTCTGGAGTCCGTCCAGACCCTCGAGACTGGTCTCGAGGCCACCGGCTCTGGCCTTGTCCACGGCAACAAGCCCTACCAGATCAACGAGATCGCCCAGGCTCTTGAGAACGTCACCGAGCAGCAGGTCAAGGAGGTATGTTCTTTATTAATTCTTCTTATTCTTTGCAGTACACTAACAACTCATAGGTTGCCAACACCTTCCTGACTGGCAAGGCCACCCTTGTCAGCGTCGGTGATATCCACCAGCTGCCCTTCGCCGAGGACCTCGGTCTGACCGTTTAAAATCCCTGTATACATTACACCGTATAGAGGGAAATCTCTGTTCCTTCATTCTGGATTTGATGTGACCACTTGTGCCTAGATTCATTGCTGATATCTCCTTTGTTCTTTTGAGGGTGTAGTTGACTGTAATACAATTGTACCTTATTCTTGGTTTCTTTCTGATAGATGTTCATGTCGATCTCACTATGCCATGTCTGCTATCTTCAGATATTACTTCTCTTCCAAGGATGATATCAAATCATCATAGGATCTTGTTTTTCCATACTTTATGTTCAAGTGTACACTGCCCCCATCATTGGGTCATTGTCACCCTTCCTCCTAACGTCTGGATAAAACCTGAGAGATTAAATCCACCAGGGATATGATCTAAAGGAATTGTTAGACATGTTGACAAAACACAACCTAGCTTTGTTTGCCTCCAGTTTGCTATCTACTTTATAACTTTTCCTATTCCACCAGTCAACCCACCAACTTATCTACAGATATTTACTTGCATAGCAGTGCAAAAAAAGGTCCTTTTAGCAAAACGGGAACAGAAAAAAAAAAAAAGATATGACAAGAGTGGGATTTGAACCCACGCCCCTTTCGAGACACGGAGACAGTTGTGAACCATCGGGATCAGGTTGACCTGAACCGTGCGCCTTAGACCAACTCGGCCATCTTGCCAATTGGATGAAAGAGGCCGCTCTTTAATGCATTATGAATGGCAACCGACTAATTGCCTTGAAGATATTGGCATTTGCTAACTGATGGTTACAATAATCTAGGTTAAAAAAACTTCTCATTTTGGAGAGAGCTTTTTAATTTGTAACCTTGAAAATGTGCCCAGGTGAGCCAAAGAGATACACCAGAAGTGATCGTAAAATACGGAGTCATAGCTGCTAAAGTATATATTTTTGGCTCTTGGAGTGTGAAAATAGTGTCGGGATGCTCGACTCAATGTCCATGAAAACTGCAATAACTTCTAAGTTCTAATAAGATCGTAGTCCACAGTGATGAGATCCGACGGCCAGTCTGGGAACAAGGTCGTCGTTGCAAACGAGGAAGAATTCGGGTCCATGTCGGGGTCAAAGTCGATATCGGGGTCCCAGCATGGCGTATTGAATGCCCATCGTGTTGGAGTTTCGCAGCGATTGTCCAGTCCACTGATTCAGGGAATCGGTCTTCTTGCCAGCGAGGAAATCACATTTGGTGCTCATGATCCAGCGCATGACAGCATAATTGATGGGAACTCCCATGCAGGTTCCAAAAATTTGCGAGAAGAACGGTTGGTCTTAACATCAGGCTTTCGAATGAGACTCGAAAGGGGACATCCTCAGTCACAATGGGGCCCTTCGTCATTCGCACGTACACAACCTGATTGCGGTAGATTCGTATGCAGTTGTCAACACCACGTCGTATCCAACTTTCCATACGAATCTCGTTGTTTTCACGATCGACTCGAAGTGTCAGACACATGTTGCAATAGCGAACACCCAGATCGAGCTTCTCATCAACCCTAGTACATGCCACTTCGACCACAACCGAGGGAATTTTGGGCCTGGCGGGACCGGATCGATGAGGTGTCCCTGTAGGACCTCGGTGGTGTCGGAAGAAGAGATGAATTTTGGACCTCGATAGTCGATTTAGGATTGACGATGGTCTCGATTGACTCCTACCCAGAGCAAAGAAAAAAGAACTCGGTTGCGTTCAAGGTCTAACGCTCATAGCCTTTAACCTTCACGACGTAGAACGTCACCCATGTAAAGACCCCATCAACGGTCACCGTCAAGTCAATGTATTTGCTCAGGGTTGTGGGGGTTGTGGTGCAAATGTGAAGCGAATGGATATGGTCAGCGCATGGAGCGTAATTTGTCCTAAGAAGAAGCGACAGCCAGCGCGTGGACCGTGGGAGGAATTCGAAGGTCTTCGCCAGTGGCGTCTTTGATGTTGACGTTGTCATTCTCAAAATCCGTTGTCCTGTAATCGCACGTGTAACGGGCATTAGGACTGGCTTGTCCAATGCGACTCGCAAACAGTTGTGTAAGAATGTTGGTGCAGCGTGATTGCGGTATACTCACTTGAGCCATGAGCAAAAAGTGAGGAAAATCAAAAACTGAAAGCATCAGAGTTTGTAGCGGAGATGTAGAGGATATCTCAAGTATAGCAATAGAGCTATCGAGAGGCAATACGATGTTGATCTGTAGATCCAAATGTATTGCAGAATATAGAGAGGGGAGAGAAAGGAAGAGGAAGAGAGAAGCTTTCCCTGACTATTTCTCTATATTCAGGCGATCTGAACAGAGAATTGCACCAGTGAGCTAGTCTGAGCTCAAAAAGAGCAACGTCTATTGCAGATCTTTTTCCTCGATAGATGACGATTGAGTACTATCTGCGCGAGACTAGGGAGAAAGAGGCGAAAGGGAAAACGAGCATCTATCTAAACTGGCGGTCTGAAACCTGAGATGAGTCATTCCAACGGGCTTTGAAGGTAGTGATCAAGATATATTGCTTAATTTATACCCTGGAAGTAACTTTTTTCGACTTATCACCCGCCAGGATATCCGAAATAGATGAGTTCTATATAACTAGATCTATGGATTTCTCCTTCAAGTGCTTGTTATATAGGTCCAGATTTCAGGAGTAACACTATATTTACTACATCCATATTGCTCTGAGTGGCGTACGAAGGGGTTGCTGGTATTGCCTTTGCATGACTGACTGCATGGTATGCCCTTATAGCCAAACTTTGTCAGATTATAGTAGCCATGATCACAGCATATTGTTCAATGATCCACATGTCAACGCATTTAAGCCATCAGCTACTTAAGTATAGCTGCACCTTTAAAAAACCTTATGTTGCTCTAAAGCAAGACAAGTAGATATGTAAGGGTCTATATGTTCCTGCATATTGTGCCGCAGAACAGTGGAAACTCGGATAATGAGTCTTTGACTCATGTAGCATTAAATCCAGCCATTTGTCATCAATTGGCAAGATGGCCGAGTTGGTCTAAGGCGCACGGTTCAGGTCAACCTGATCCCGATGGTTCACAACTGTCTCCGTGTCTCGAAAGGGGCGTGGGTTCAAATCCCACTCTTGTCATATCTTTTTTTCTGTCTCTGGCCATTGGCCGTGGGGATTTTTTTTTGCAGTTTTTGCATTGATTGAGATATATGGGTTGGTTAGTGGGAAGTATGCAGTAAACAGATAAAGTGAACAAATAAAATGACACTACGGAGTATGTCAGATGGGAGACCCCAGCCCTACTAGTATATCTCAGTTCAAACAGCCACAAAACCTTAGAACTAAACTGTGAGACTGATTGCAATATAGGGATCAGCAGAGCCAAAGTAATGGATTCTATTACATTTCCCATTGACACTCATTTCAATAGGTAGATATGCAGATTGAATACAATCTGATATATGTTTTACATGTAAATATACACTTTGCAGAATAGAACATACTTAAATTGCTCTTTAGATACCTTGTATGTATAAGACTAAATACCAGCACATGTTCACAAACTTTCTTCCAACAGAAAAAAATGTTTTCAACCATTCTAATCAACATGATGACTTCAAACAGCAAAAAAGAAATGACAAGAGTGGGATTTGAACCCACGCCTACAAACGTAGATCAGGAAACTGAGAACAGTTATTGAGTTAAGGTGGACCTTAACCTGACGCCTTAGACCAACTCGGCCATCTTGCCAATTGGATGGAAACGGCTGACAAAGTTGGCTACAAGAGCGGAAATTAAAACATGGCACAACCAACCACTCTTCGAAGTGTATAGTTCCCCTCAGAGCCATTCATCTACTTGCACACAGCGCCATACCAGTAGAATATATCGTCTTCAATACAATACATGGATTGCAATACTACCTACATACTCCATACCTACATGATTAGTAGAGTCGAGTTCCCTTTTATTCACAGGCATATCCATGCATAACACAAACACAGCTGCATATTGGCACCCAACAGAGCAAATCACGCCATCCTTAACCTTTGTCTACCCCTCCTGAAGTCCCCAAATTTGGTCTGTAATTTCAAGAGACTCCGGCTGTTGATTGTCCTATTTATACCCTCCCATCGCGTCTACTCGAACCAAAAGTCCCCAGAGCGAGCCCGTCAACCTCCAATTCCCCCGCACCATGCCAGAGAACCTCCACTTCGACACTCTACAGCTTCACGCTGGGTAAGTCTCCATCCGAGGTCCCATTAGCTCAATGCTAAAACAGGAAAGCCATGAGCCAGACAGCACCACCAACTCCCGCGCTGTCCCAATCTACGCCACAAGCTCCTATGTCTTCAATGACTCGGCCCACGGCGCCAGACTCTTCGGTTTGAAAGAGTTTGGCAATATCTACAGTCGCATCATGAACCCCACAGTCGACGTGTTTGAAAAGCGCATCGCAGCCCTGGAAGGCGGCGTTGCTGCCATTGCCGCATCCTCGGGCCAATCTGCCCAATTCATGGCTATCACGGCCCTGGCGCATGCAGGCGACAATATCGTTTCAACCAGCAATCTCTACGGTGGAACCTACAACCAGTTCAAAGTTATGTTCCCGCGACTGGGGATCACGACTAAGTTCGTTCAGGGTGATAAGGTAGAGGATATTGCTGCTGCCATTGATGATAAGACTAAGGCTGTTTATCTGGAGTCAATTGGGAATCCCAGGTACAATGTCCCTGACTTCGAGGCTATTGCTAAGGCGGCTCATGAAAAGGGTGTTCCTGTTGTTGTATGTTTTTCTCCCTCTATGCTATGTGGAAGAGATTGATACTGATATCTGGACTAGGTTGATAATACATTCGGTGCTGGTGGGTACTTTGTTCGTCCGATTGATCATGGTGCAGACATTGTTGTTCACAGTGCCACGAAATGGATTGGTGGACATGGTACCACGATTGGAGGAGTGGTGATTGACAGTGGCAAGTTTGACTGGGGGAAGAACGGGGCTCGATTCCCTCAATTCATTGAACCATCTGAGGGATACCATGGGTTGAAATTCTGGGAGACTTTTGGATCCCTTGCGTTTGCCATTCGAGTCCGCGTTGAGATTCTCCGTGATGTGGGATCTGCGTTGAATCCTTTCGCGGCCCAGCAGTTGATTCTGGGCCTGGAGACTTTGAGTCTGCGATGTGAGCGACATGCATCTAATACGCTTGCCTTGGCGAAATGGTTAGAGAAGAATGAGAATGTCACTTGGGTTTCGTACCCGGGATTGGAATCTCATCCTTTCCATGAACTGGCGAAGAAGTACTTGCCCCGTGGGTTTGGTGGTGTGCTGTCCGTTGGGATCAAGGGAGGTGCTGCTGGTGGTGCTCAAGTTGTGGATAACTTCAAGCTGATTTCTAATCTTGCTAAGTATGTTTTCCCCTTGTTTTTCTCTGGCTTATGTACTGACATGTTACAGTGTCGGTGATTCCAAGACCCTGGCCATTCACCCTTGGTCCACCACCCATGAACAGCTGTCAGAGCAAGAGCGCCGTGACTCTGGGGTCACCGAGGATGGGATTCGCATTTCCGTGGGCACCGAGTACATTGGCGATATCATTGCCGACTTTGAGCAGTCGTTCAAGGCTGCTCAGGCGGTGCCAGCGTAAATTAAGCTACTTAAGTAGAATGTGACGAATCAATATATACAGAAGTCTACGGTATTGTCTTTAGGAGATCAGATTGTATGAATGAATATTGGATGTAAATCCAGGCCTAAAGCCGTAGCACAAATTAACCTGAAAGATAAGAATATGTGTAGCAGTAAAATCTGCGGAAATCACGAAAAACCTCCCCTGCCCATGCCTGTGAATGATAATGAAGATAGAAATAAAGAGGAAAGACCAGAAGAAAAGAAATCCTCAACGCCATAACCATATGCAAGAGACATCTCTCTTATTTTTTTAGTTGCCCTGACCATTGGAGGGAGGTTGACCAGGCATGCCCTGACCCATCATGAAAGGAGGCAACATGGGCATACTGGCGAAGTTGAAACCATAGGCTGGAACGGCAGGGGCCACACCAGGATTGTTCATGTTCATTTCAGGTTCACCCATTCCATAACCATCACGCTCACGACGACCAAAGCGAGCCTCGGTGTTAGGGTTAGACTGAGGTTGACGAGTGGAAATGGGGCCACGCTTGCCGCCAGTGTCGGTGGCAATGCGACGACTGATCGCCTTGGAGGACACACCCGCACCAATTTCAATATCGGGTTCCTCCACCACCATTCCTGACTCGATTTGACGACCACCAGTTCCACCGTACTCGGCAGTAAGCATCCACTTGCGATCCGCCTCGGTCAATCGATCAACGGGGATGATGCTAACTCCCGTCTGGTAGTCACTGCAGTCGCGGGGACCAAAACCAACACCCCATCGAGTACGGAGTTGCATTTCACCAGTGCGGTACGACTCCATTCCATCGCGAGCCTGAGTGGCATCTTGACGGCTGACCATCTTAATAAAGGCGTGACGCTTATCCACGTTCACAATGCAGGTCTGAACAATTCCAAATTGGCCAAAGAGCTGGCGCAGGTGCGACTCCGAGGAAGTGACACCGCCAACAAAGAGAGTTCGGCTGAGAACCTTGATCATACCCTGACCAATCGAGTAATCCCATTCAATGAACTTGGGTCCGGGAGGAGGCAGGTTGGGATCCTTGTTACGGGACGGGGAAGGCGAGCGACGTCGACCCCCGCGGGCGCCAGGCGGGCTGCGCTGACGATACTCCCCGCGACGGCCACGCGCATCGCGCGGGTCTCCACCACGACGACCGGGCGAATCACCATGGTATTCGCCATAGACAGGGCTCTCACGACGACGAGGAGGAGAGGCAGTACGGCGGCGATCCCAGCCAGGAGAGCGAGAACGACGACGGTATCCAGTGGGGGGAGAGCGAGGGTATTCGCGTCCTCGGTCATCCATGTTCTGCGAATCGGGACGACCCCATCCATTGGCATTTTGACCCTGCATGGGAGGGAAACCGGGCATACCGGGCATGGGAGGCATACCACCCATTCCGTTGTTTCCGACCGAGCTAAAGATCTGAAGAGCGGTTCCCCACTGGTCCTGGGGGATGCCCTGGGAAGCCAGCATCTGCAAAACCTGGAGTTGAGCGGCCATGGCAGTGGGATCGGGCACAGCGGGCTGCGCGGCCTGGGGAAGCATCGCGGCCAGCGGGTTGGCAGCGGCCAATGGGTTCGGGGTCCCGTTCTGGCTGGGCGGGAGGTTCTGGGCCATGCTAGCCATGCCAGCAAAGGGCATTGCGGCCGGATTTGCACCGTATGGGTTCATGGCAGCGGCCTGGGCGGTAGGATCGGCGGCTGGGGCTGGCGCAGCCGGAGGGAAGGCACTCATCGGATTGGGTTGCGCAGGGGCCGAAGCAGCCGGAGCGGCGTTGTTGTTCTTGGCCATGTCCGCCAGCGCTTTGAGAATGCTGGAGGTATCGGGTGCGGCAGCGGCCGGCTGTTGAGGCATGCCCAATGAGTTCGAGTTGGGGGCTGGTGAGCCCTCTGGGGTGTTCGATTCGACGGTCTGAGCAGCGTTGAACTTCTCCTTGAAGGAAGCAAGCATCGGCGCGGGGAAAGTGGCACCGCGTTCCCAAATGTCGACCAACTTCTTGATCTTGTCCTAAGGCGAGGCGAGGAAGGTTAGCTGTTGGTTCACTACAGTGAATGTGGCTTTCTTCGGTCTGAAGTATAGGGGGTGTGTCAAGGTCGAGTTGAGGCACCGTCGGTGGGATGAAGATCGTGGATTCTGGTATAGCTCTATCACATACCTTTTGATCTTGAGGGGCATTGTTAATGATGTCGGTCATGAGCACAGGAAGCAAGTCAGTCACTCGCTTGACACCAGCAGCGAATGTCCCATCAGGCGCATCACCTCCGGGAGTCTGACCGGTCTTGCGTGCAGCCTCTACCCATTGTCGGGTTACTGAGTCTACGACATAGAGTACACCAAGCTTGTGTGTGCCAGGGGCCTTCTTGAAGTGAGTGTAAATTTTCTGAATAAGCACTGATTCGTTCTGCAGATGGGTTAGTAAATCCAACAACGAGGGCAACTCAAAGAGCAACCCAAAGGGGTCAAGCGTACCTGCACGTTGGCTGTGCACAAAGATGTGATTCCACCGATCTTGGATCCTGATACTCCAGGAGGCTTCAAAGCCAACATGGATTGGAGGAGATTCTCCAGCTCAGCTACTGCGGACGACATGGTTTACCGCGAAAAGCGTCGATGCTGAGAGATCGCGACAAGGGAGAAAATAGAGAGACCTTGGGGTCTTGTTTTATGCAGTTGGGACGAATCACGTAACTGAGATCCTTGGCTTACTGCGAGTGAGATCGCAAATCCAGTTTGGATATGGTTTAAGCAGGTGTCGGTTTCTTCACTACAGACTCCACGAGCGCATTCACTGTCGACCAGAGAAGTGCCGCCTACAGCTGGAATACAGCCTAGCGATATTGTGTCCAGGGAACGATGCCTGCCGAGTACGAGAGTACGGGGGGAGTACGGTAGATGTACAGCCTAGAGCGGTTCTTTGTAGTGAGATCCCCAGTAAGAAACGAAAAAAAGAAACCAGAGGGTTTACGTGATGCCTAGTCACTGGGATGGACTGGAATCACTGCGATCGAAAAACCGATGAAATGGAAGTTGAAGAGCGGGAGAAAAGGAGAGGATGGAAGGTGGGAGTAGCGGGCAGGGGAGAAGGCAGAATCTGCGACTTGGACACTAGTCTCATTCTGGCAATGTCACGTGATATACATAGCTGGAGGCTCTCACTCCCCGTAGTGTATTCTGCCACCGATCTGAAGCCCTAAGTGAGGTGTACACCCAACAGTGACTTCGAGGTGATCGATCATCATGCATTCTCAACGATATGATCACTAGCTATGTATGGAGTACTCTGGACAAAACATGAGTACGGAGTAGTACGGAGTAAGCTCCAGTTGATGTGACATGGTCATGAATTCCAGGTCATGCCGGAGTCAATACAGGCCAGTTGTTCCAATAGCTATACCATTTACTCCGTACTCGACAAGTGTAATTTAGATCTCCCCAAGTCCCAACAACCTCCAGGCTAGAAAATAAACAGGGAATCTTAAACGCCAGGGCAACGGTGGGCCGAGGATGCCGTGAACAGCTCATCCCTTTTCCTAAAACGTGATCTGACTGCTCCTACCGCCTTCTCCCGACCTCGGTGAACCATTTTAGTGAGGCTCCCGATCAGCTCAGCTACTCAGCTGGAACCTCCCTAGTCCGCAGGGAATATGCGGAGGACACTTTGTCCGTCGAGGTCATGGCCAGCAAAATAACAAAAACATCTGATAAGCAGATACCGAGGGTTTCAATCGGACGGATGGCGGCACGGAAGAAAAGGGCGACTTGCCGACGTCACTGCCAGCTACCCCATAGGGAATAGACGTAATTGCAGTACCGCGTCATAAAACCCCTTGGCATAAGATACAGAGTACAAAGTAAGTAACTCCGATATAGTTTCAGAGTATAGAGAATAGAGTACGAGTATAGGAGTTAGCTTTGAAAGTATCTTCTTTTTTGATGAGTATCGACAATACCCATACTTCGTACTTCATTGAGTTACTACTACTCGTACTACACTCCAGTAATCGCTTGACAATGTCCCGAAGCTGATCTGCCGGCAGCCCGAGCCCGTGCTCTTCCGTTGGGGCAAAATTACGGCGTCCCGAATGTGGGAGAGTTACCGTACCGGCTGTAATACGGCCAAATGGAAAAAATGAAAATTCCAGGGCCGCAAAAGAGCTTCTCCCCGATTTCCCTCCTTCTCCTTCCTTTTTCTCCCCAGGCTTTGTGTCCATCTTTCTCCATCTCCCCATCTCATTTTCTTTTTGGCGATATGGCTTCTTCCCTCCGCATCGGTACCACCGCTCTCCGGTCTTCCATCGCGAAGCCGGTGCAGTCCGCCGCCTTGAATGGTGCGCGCTGCTACTCTTCCGCTAAGGCCAAGGTATGTGTTGAGCTGGAAGCTTCAATGGCCAAATACTAATCGCCTCCCTTATAGTCCCTCAAGGACACCTTCGCCGACAACCTGCCCGCCGAGATCGAGAAGGTCAAGAAGCTCCGCAAGTACGTGACCTCTGCCGGCCCTTCCGCCATACACAACTAACCAGCGTGTTCATTTTAGGGAGCACGGTAACAAGGTCATTGGTGAGGTCACCCTCGACCAGGCCTATGGTGGTGCCCGTGGCATCAAGTCCCTCGTCTGGGAGGTAAGCTCAAAAAGCTCGACCCCCTAACCAATGACGCAGCTGACCGTGATTTTTTTTTTTTCTAGGGTTCCGTCCTCGACTCTGAGGAGGGTATCCGTTTCCGTGGCTACACCGTAAGTGGTTCTTTGGATCGCAATATCTGAAGTATCGTTTTACTCATTATCCCTAGATTCCCGAGTGCCAGAAGCTTCTGCCCAAGGCCCCCGGTGGTGAGGAGCCCTTGCCCGAGGGTCTCTTCTGGCTTCTGTTGACTGGTGAGATCCCCTCCGAGCAGCAGGTCCGTGACCTGTCCGCCGAGTGGGCTGCTCGCTCCGATGTCCCCAAGTTCATTGAGGAGCTCATCGACCGTTGCCCCAACACCCTCCACCCCATGGCTCAGTTCTCCCTGGCTGTGACCGCTCTCGAGCACGAGTCCGCCTTCGCCAAGGCCTACGCCAAGGGTGTCAACAAGAAGGAGTACTGGAACTACACTTTCGAGGACTCCATGGACCTCATTGCCAAGCTCCCCACCATTGCTTCCCGCATCTACCGTAACGTCTTCAAGGATGGCAAGGTCGCCCCCATTCAGAAGGACAAGGATTACTCCTTCAACTTGGCCAACCAGCTTGGTTTCGGTGGCAACAAGGACTTCGTTGAGCTCATGCGTCTCTACCTGACCATCCACTCCGACCACGAGGGTGGTAACGTCAGCGCCCACACCACCCACTTGGTTGGTTCCGCTCTGAGCTCCCCCATGCTCTCCCTCTCCGCCGGTCTCCAGGGTCTCGCCGGTCCCCTTCACGGTCTTGCCAACCAGGAGGTCCTTAACTGGATCACCAAGATGAAGCAGTCCGTCGGCAACGACATCAGTGACCAGTCCATCAAGGACTACCTCTGGTCCACCCTTAACAACGGCCAGGTCGTCCCCGGTTACGGCCACGCCGTCCTGCGCAAGACTGACCCCCGTTACGTCTCCCAGCGCGAGTTTGCTCTCCGCAAGCTGCCCGATGACCCTCTGTTCAAGCTGGTCAGCCAGGTCTACAAGATCGCCCCCGGTGTTCTGACCGAGCACGGCAAGACCAAGAACCCCTACCCCAACGTTGATGCCCACTCCGGTGTCCTCCTCCAGTACTACGGTCTCACCGAGGCCAACTACTACACCGTTCTCTTCGGTGTGTCCCGTGCCATCGGTGTCCTGCCCCAGCTGATCATCGACCGTGCTCTTGGTATGCCCATTGAGCGCCCCAAGTCCTTCAGCACTGAGGCCTACGCCAAGCTGGTTGGTGCCAAGCTCTAAGCGTATGTTGATGTTTCACCGGAATTCCTTTTAATTATTCGCCTTGGGGGCCCGTGAGGACCCGAGTTAGACATTTGTATTATTTCCTTTGTTTGACCGAGAGAGTCTTTGGTTATTTTTATGTATGATAGGGACTTGATCGGTTCGAGCGGGCCTTGTAACAGAACTTCCATGTCAATTGTCCTCCTTTTTGTAGATCATTAGTACGATCATACGAGTACGAGTATACACGGTAGATCATTAAGACTATATCGGACTATATATGACTATATAGTACTAAATAAGGCTATAAGGCTATGGATCCAAGAATATAAGAATAGATATAAGATAAACATAAGAAATTAAATCAATTGAAAAAAACACTAAAATAAAACCAAAATAACATCAAAGTACTATGATCGACTCTACGGCGTAAAGTCCAACGGTCTGGAAGCTACCAGTGTTGAATGCAGTACATCGGTTGTTGGGAATCCACCTCAACCATATCGATTATCGTGACCCACTCGTTGTCAGGGATACAATACTGTATATACATACACAGTATATAACTATAGCCAGTATATACTATAATAAAGAGTAAAATGAGGGAGGGAAGAAGGCAGTATTTATAGTTATAATAACATATTGAAGAATAACTATTAATTCCTCCGTTTGTCGGACAATGCTGGACACCTCCGGTATGGGAGGTACTGAGTACCCAATGGCATGAGTGGACACGGTGGAGATCGGACGTACCAGGTACCAGCTCCAGCGGTTCCCCCCAGCTTACTTACCCAAGCTCGCTGATTTCCCCGTTCTCCCCTATAAGACTTTCAGGCCTGCCTCCCTTCTCTTCTTCATCTTCCACATATTTCGGAATCTCATCCTCCGACTTTAGCAAGTCTCTTTTCTTTCTTAAACCCACGAAGCCCCTCTACATCCCTTGGTCAGGGCCCCTTTCAGCACAACATCCCAGAATGTCTACCGCAACTCCATCCACGGCCTCGGCCCCTAAGCTCGAGAAGAAGCCCGTCAAGTTCAGCAACCTGCTGCTGGGCGCTGGATTGAACCTGTTTGAGGTCACATCGTTGGGACAGGTATGGAATTAGATATCCCTCGGGCCATCCATGAGACCCTGCTGACCATCATCTAGCCGCTGGAGGTGATCAAGACAACCATGGCTGCCAACCGAGGCGACAGCTTCGCGGGCGCTATGGGTCGGATCTGGGGCCGTGGCGGTATCCTCGGTTGTAAGTGAACAACTCCCCCCTGGCTCGATTTCCCCCGACCCTGCGTGATTAGCGCCATGTCAATGTAACCTCGGGCTAATTGCGGGATTTCAATGTTTAGACTATCAGGGACTCATTCCGTGGGCCTGGATTGAGGCATCTACCAAGGGTGCGGTTCTCCTCTTCGTCGCCTCCGAGGCCGAATATCAGGCTCGCGCCCTCGGTGCTGGCGATTTCGTCGCTGGTATCTCTGGTGGTATGACCGGTGGTGTCGCTCAGGCCTACGCCACCATGGGCTTCTGCACCTGCATGAAGACCGTCGAGATCACCAAGCACAAGATGGCGGCCACTGGTGTCAAGCCCCCCGGTACCTTCCAGACCTTCATGGATATCTACCGCAAGGAGGGTATCCGCGGTATTAACCGTGGTGTCAACGCCGTCGCCATTCGCCAGACCACCAACTGGGGTTCCCGCTTCGGTCTG